TATATATATATATATAGAGAGAGAGAGAGAGAGAGAGAGAGAGAGAGAGAAATCTTCGGATGCGAAAAAATTTCGCACAGTAACGTGCGAAAACGGGTTAAGGCGTTGGATTTTCTTGGTTCATATATATATATAGAGAGAGAGAGAGAGAGAGAGAGAAATCTTCGAATGCAAAAAAATTTCGCACAGTAACGTGCGAAAACGGGTTAAGGCGTTGGATTTTCTTGGTTCCTCTCTCTCCGTTGAATTTTCATCGTTCCCCAGACCCTCACCCTCTCTCTCTCATAAACCCTCCTCCCTCTCTCTTCCCAAACTCCTCCTCCCTCTCCCTCTTCTCGCTCGTGACCCCAAGCACCACCGCCCCAAACTCGACTCGACTCTCACCCCAAATCCAACTTTTCAAACCGATGGAGCTAGAAGTTCGAGTCGTTGGAGGAATCGAAAGCTGCTTCCTCTATCTCCTCTTTCCCTAATCCAGACCCTAGATTCTTCCGTCAGTGCCCCCTCCCTCTCGTCCTCGCCTTCGACTCTGATCACCCGCCGCCTGCTGACACGTCGCCTGGGCTGGATCCGGGTCCGGTTCCTCTTCAATCGAGCTCCTCCTCCGCTTTCAGCCCTCCTCCTCCTCCTTTAGCCCCCCTTCCTTCAATTTTTATCCGATTCATGCTGCTATAAATCTCTCTTTCCCTCTTTTCCTAATTTTAATATATGTTTTGATTTCATCTTGTTTAAATCCTTATTTTAACAAATAAATGCTCTAGAATTTTCATAGATGTTCACAGATGCATATGATTCTTATGTACCTTCTGATGAGGAAGACTCAGAGCAGACTCTCTTTCGCCATCGTATTCTCAAGCAAACTATAAGTTCATATTCTACTGGTACTTATTCATTTCCTTTTTGATTAAGGACAATGAGTAATTTAGTTATACACACTATCCTTATGCCTCATGAAGTTTTTAATGTTTCTGTAGGCTTAATACTTAAATTAATCTTATTAAATGTGAATAATAACTACTTGCTGCTGTCTCAATTATAAATACTAAGTTTTTCCCCAATAAACCTTTTTATCGATACTAAGCTGTTTCAAGTTTTCAATCTTTGCATCTTGAAGTTGGGCATATTTACACTGCTTTTGACTTTTAAATTGCTAATGTTGCAGTCTTCTTTTCTCAAGAATACGCTCGAGGGAAATCCAAATAATTGCTGATGTGGAGAGTATAGCCCTCCTCGTTGCCAAGAACATGCTCGTCGGCAAAGCCATCGAGGGGACCCAGTGGGAGGCGCTGAAGCCCTGCATGAGCCCGAGAGGTGCTCGAGGTAATTAGTTCAAGAAGCGCTCAAGAGAAACACTTTGGAGAAGCATTTCTTTGAAGGGCTTGCATTTGCTCAAGGGAGCTTTAGATACTCATGTCTAATTTTCTTTTTTTATGTATGTGGGCTTTCAGCATTTGAAAGTTCATCTATTCAATGTAGTTTGTAAAAGAAATCGGTGTTTTCTAGCATTTGAGCCTCTTTTTGGAATAAAGATGCAGTGTGTGATTTTTGCAGGGTGTAGGTTAATCATGTATGTTTGAGTTCAAATTACTTGCCTTGTATGATAATTGAATTGTGACATCATGTATGTTGAGTTCAAATTGCTTGTCTTATATGAGAATTGAATGCTTTTGATAGTTATCATCATATAGCCTACACTTATTTGGTAGCTTGAGCTTCAATGTTATCAATCAATTGAAATATTATGGGGTAAACAGAGGTTGATGTGTCGTTGGCTTGTGTGTTGATATGGCACGTTTAGACTACTATAATCTATATTATCAACATATCTCTCAACAAACCAAAAGCACACCCGATGGTTTGAATGTATTATCTGAAGCATTGTTTCTGGAGCATTGTTTCTTCAATACTTGATCATAAGTATGAACAAACTCATGTACCAATCTACATTAACCTGGTAGCTTCAAACACCAAATTGTCCAACCTGGCAGCTTCATACTTGGTCATATGTATGAACAAACTCATGTGCCAGTCTACATTAACACATATGACAATACCAACAACAACAAATGACACAACCTGCTTCAGGGCATTAACATTCACACAAATGACAATACCAACAACAACAACAATACCAACACATGTTCCAGTCTACATTAATGACAATACCAACAACAATAGTACATTTCACACCTAACAACTCACAATACCAACAACAACAATACCAACACATGTTCTATTACAGAATAAACTCAAAACCATATATGTTTCTGTCGAGGCACACCTAACAACTCAAAACAGTAGTACATTTTTCAGTCTAAATTTCTAGTCTTCAATAATGGAAATTTCCAGTCTTTAATTTCTGTCGAGGCACACCTATTTGATCATACATTTTTCAGTCTAAATGTTCCAGTCTACATTTTTCTGTCGAGGCACACCAGGTAGCTTCTTATTTCTGCACAGAAACTAGTAATCAAAGTAATATTTCACGATGGAACTCGATTTGTACTACACCCTCATCTTCTTCTCCGCTGAGCTCTTCCCAAAAGTTCTTCATCTTTTATCTGCAAAAAACATACCTCAAACTAAAATGTATATCAGTGTAAAAGGATTGTGTATGTACCCGATATCATCTACTCACAACGTAATCCAAATTATGTACATAATCTACTCCCAAAATTCAAGGTTCATACAAATGTATATATCAGTCTATAAACAAGGAAAATTCAGATTCTGTGTTGAATTTTTCGGATCTATATAGTGATCATTGAATTACCAAATGCACTAAATCTTCCCTAGTAGAATATATAAGTAACAAATGCACTAAATTACTAATGCATTTAAATTGGCAAGTAAATTTCTGAGCCTATATGCTCACAACGCTACTGATTTTTGGTTATTAATTTGTCCTGATAAAATCGAAGCTCACCTGATTAATTTATCACTTAGTGAATTAACAAATGCATAGAACCTGCACTAAGTCATCATCTTTTATCATGATTTTATCATGACTTAGTGCAGATAATTCACTAAATCTTCTCTAAGTAAGAAGTTAAGTTAACCTGAAAGCATAGAACCTGCAGCTAAGATAATTGTAACATCAGAATAAGTATTCAGGATGAATGAATTGTAAAACCACTTCATTAGGCAAAAGAAAAATGTTAGAACCTAAACGAACTTTATTCTCAAGTAACAATCTTTTTTCCCCCATTTAGGGAAAAATGGGTAAATGTGTTTGAAGAGAGTAAGGTTAAGAAAATTCAAATACGCACAGACAAAGATCAAAATAAATCATTACAAATTATTATACGTACTAGAATGCTAATCATAACTAAATTCCTGGTTAAATTAATATAAATAATCCTTGAAAAAATAAAATCCTGATAAAAGACGATGACTTAGTGCATTTGGCAAGTAAAATCCTAATAAAATCGAAGCTCACCTAACGAATCAGATAAAATTGAAGGAGGAGGAGGACTGAAGGCGGAGGAGGAGGGCTGAAGGAGGAGGAGGAGCTCGATTGAAGAGGAACCGGATGCGGATCCAGCCCAGGCGACGTGCCAGCAGGCGGCAGGTGATCGGTGGTCGAAGGCGAGGACGGGATGGAGGGGGCCACCGACGGTAGAATCTAGGGTTTGGATTAGCGAAAGAGGGAGATAGAGGAAGCAGCTCTCGATTCCTCCGACGACTCGAACATCTAGCTCCATCGGTTTGAGAAGTTGGGTTTGGGGCGAGAGTCGAGTCGAGTTTGGGGCGGCGGTGGTTAGGGTCATGAGGAAGAAGAGGGAGAGGGAGGAGGAGTTTGGGAAGAGAGAGGGAGGAGGGTTTATGAGAGAGAGAGAGGGTGAGGGTCTGGGGAACGATGAAAATCCAACGGAGAGAGACGAACCAACAAAATCCAACGGCTTAACCCGTTTTCGCACGCTACTGTGCGAAAATTTTTTCGCATTCGAAGATTCATATATATATATATAGGGAGAGGTTCTAATAAAAACCTAGAGAACTAAAAACCAATCCTAACCCTACATTCTATTTCATCCAATGGCCTAGATTTCGATGGCAGAATTGTAAATATAGACAAATTTAATACACTGCATTAATGTGAAAAGGGTAAAATTGGAACAATTCATTGCATTAATGGTGACTGATTACATTGGAACAATGATACAAATTTAATACACGTCCTTTAATACTCTCTCTCTCTAACTCGCTTCCCGATCTCTGTAAATCTCACATGAAGAACACAACAACGCAATGAATCTGGATTCACTGAAGTGATCTTCAATCCAGATTCACTCCAACGAATTGAATCTGGATTCACTCCAATCGATTTGCTGCTCCACTGGATTTGTGAATCATTCTAACCATCCAAGCAGAATAAGAAACTTATGGTAAAAAACAAGCTATAAAATTTTATAACATGAAAAATTTTCACCTTTTACAGCAAAAAGTTATGATTTTTATGGTAAAAAACAAACACCTCACATAAAAAATCGGCGTTAAGGTATTTTAATTGATTAAAATTACCAATTAGGTCCTTTTTCTCATCGGCGACCACTTTTCCGGCGAGAACTCGTCACGTGCGTGACACGTGATGACTTAATCTGTATAAATACCCATATTGGTATTTTAATTCAACTCAATTTGCCAAGAAGGTATTTTATATAAAAAAATCGCCGTTAAGACATTTTAATTGATTAAAATTACCAATTAGGTCTTTTTGCTTGTCGGCGACCACTTTTTCGGCGAGAACTGGTCACGTGCATTTTAATTCAACCGGTTTTCTGACGTGGCAGTGGCAGGAAGAATAAGAGTCGATGCATTTTAAAATCCCCCATTTCTAAAATTGGTAAAAAAATTAGCGAAAAATTCGTGGAGAAATTACTGTATAAATAGAACCTCAAACTTTTGCATCGATCCATGGCCGCGCCGGCGGCAATCTAGTCTGCAGTGATCTTCGTCTTCTCACTCTCCTCTCCGAATTCCCATGACGTTTTCTTCTAGAAGTTCCTGGAATCGGGGGTTTTGGCTGCTTCTGTTAGCGGTAAAGGTAAGATAATTGAGTTGGATCTGAGATCTGGAGTGAATGCGTGGAAGTTTGATCTTTGTTTTGAAATTTTTAGGGTTCAGGTTGGTTCGTTTTGGACTTAAATTGTGATTAAGCCACATCAGCAGCTAAAACCGAGCCAATCAGCAAACCGAGCCACATCATCAGCTAAAACACAGATTAAGTCATCACATGCCACACACGTGACGAGTTCTCACCGGAAAAGTGGTCGCCGACGAGAAAAAAGACCTAATTGGTAATTTTAATCAATTAAAATGCTTTAATGCCGATTTTTTATTTAAAATACCTTCTTGGCAAATGTGGTTAAATTAAAATACCAATATGGGTAATTATACAGATTAAGTCATCACGTGCCATGCACGTGACGAGTTCTCGCCGGAAAAGTGATCGCCGACGAGAAAAAAAGACCTAATTGGTAATTTTAATCAATTAAAATGCCTTAACGCCGAATTTTTTATTTAAAATACCTTCTTGGCAAATGGGGTTAAATTATAATACCAATATGGGTATTTAGCCCTTCAAAAAGCAACATCTTGTAAACACGATGGCTTTAAGAAGCAACACCAACCTCTTCATGATGCAACCTCAATCCTTTCTTCAGAGTATCTGTTGTTTCATATTTCTTCTGTATTTTCTCTTTTGCCTATTTTGTACCTACACCGGTTATTGATTACACTAGATAGATACTTACTGTGATTGTGAAACATGTTATTGCATGGTATGGTGCATGGCAGGTTTGACATTCTTGGTTTCTCCTTGGACTGTAGCCTTGTTGAAACCAGGGGCGTCATTATTAGTATCAGAGCTTTAGTTCCAGTATCCTTAGGATCATCCTATGTCGTGTCGTGGAGTTAGAATAGAGTTTCTTAGGATTCATGTATAGAGTCCGTTAAGAATTTCTTGTACGAGTGAGGACGTTATATACGCGTATTCGAAAATCACGAATATTTTTTTCTAATACTAAAAGTATTTGTGTGAATAATATATGACGTGGAATCGTTATATGTTTTGTTTGAGGACTCATAATCCTTCTTGTATGTGCTCAGATGGCAGGACGTGGTAGACCTCGTACTCGAGAGCTGGTCAGGCAGAGCCATAGCAGGCTCTACCAGCATAGTAGCAGACTTCACCTGAGCTACAGCAGGCTCCCCAATACCTGATAGATCTAATGGACCCCATAGCCTCTAAGATGATAGCTCTTAAGAAGCTTGTGACGAGTCACATCACCCCACCACTACTAGTAGTTCCACCACTGGTTGTACTAGCTTTTCCAGTTGTGGGCGGTTTAAAAGGGAACACACCAACACCTACCCCACAGGTAGTTGTGGATAGAGCAGTAGAGCAGGAGACTTGGCTCTGTCTGGTGGAGAGATACCAGAAGATGAGAGCACCGGAGTTTCAGGGATCATCGGATTCAC